GCTGTGTCCATCGGGAGCAGCCCTTTCTTCCGAACGCTTGTGCAGTAGCTGAGAGCCATATCCGATTTGATGTCCTTGCATTATGACATAGACGGTTCCTCCATTTAAAGTCGACTCCACAACTCGTTCGCGTCCATCCAATCACTCTGAAGTCGATCGAATATGGGTGGCGTGCCGTTTCGAAATTCGCTGGCCAGGTAGACGACGAATGGACGGCAGCAGCCTTGTAGAAAGCCGACCTTACCTGAATCGCCTGTTTAAACTAATATACACAGCAAAAGATTTTAACCAGTGCATACCCCTGATCCCCGATCGGATCGCCCATTAGCAGGATAGGTGGCTGCTGACTGCTTCCGGCTGAACTATCGGGACCTGAACTGGTAGATTTAGTGGTGAAGAACGAGCCAACACGGTGATGAAAGTAGACATTCGTACCGAGACAATTTTGCGGAGAACTAGTCTCAGGTACCGCGCACTCCTGAGTAGTCCCATGCACACCCATATTTCTTGAAATCTTTCTACATAGGGGTTAACGGTTGGAAATAGGCCGGTTTCGATAAGGATGGCGCCAACCTGAATTGAAAGCCATTACCGTAGACATAAGAGAAGGCGTTTGGTTATGGTGTACCTTTGATCCCCAGTCGGATCACATCGCAACAAAAACAAAAAACAACATGTTCTATGGCTGATCCATCCTCGTAGTATTTTCCATACCATGGCTTTGGTAGGTAGAAAAGCTTCACAATCAACTTGGCAGATGTACGCTCCAGTCGCAGAACTCCGTAGACAAGAAATGGGTCCGTATCCATGAGGACGGCTCAACCTAAATTGAGAGCCATGAGAAGCCTGACGAAAAATCGTTCACTAGTCACGCACCCTCGATCCCCGTTCGGATCGCCTTACAGCAAAATTGTTCCAATGGCCGATCCATCCTCATAGTCTTCTCCGCATCCATGGCTGTAGGTAGACGAATAGCTTCACAACTAATTGACAAATGTACGTTCGAGTCGCAGAATTCTATAGATGAGCAATGGGTCTGTGTCATTGAGGACGTTGTCAATCTGAACTGAAAGCCGTAACACAGACATCTAAAAAGGTGTCCGATATTAACGTACATCCGATCCCCGTTCGGATCGCTCTACAACAGACTCTTTGAAATATGTCGACACCTCCAATGTCGTCTGCTGCGGCACATCTGAACCATATCCCGAAATCAAGTATGTAGTATACAGCTACCGTAGATTTTAATTGTTTTTGGAAACCTCCACATATTTGAACTCACTCCATTGTTTCGAGGCGACTTTCAATCTTCATTCTCGCCATGCTTTGAAATGGTTCTTGACTCGCTTCGAAATGCGACCCAATTTGCAACCATATCTGCAAAGACGAGAGAGAAAGGCGAACTTGAAGTTGACTCAGG